TATATATACTTTTTACATAAATAATATTAAATGCAAAAATATGCGATTCAAGCTAGGATTTCAAAAGTGTTTTGGGAAATTTTATAAAGAAAGAAATGAGAGAGAATGAAAATCAGAGATAGTTTCTGAGAGAAAATCTAAGAGGAAAAAAGATAAGAGGAAAAAAATTCCAAGTTACAAGTTATATCGCATTTAATTCAACTTTGTTGTTTTTTCAAATTTGAAATTTAAAAACACGAAAATTACAGAGTTTACTAATAAAGCTTCACACAAAGACAAATACATGTGCGGACGTGTATTCCAATCGCAGGAGGGTCGTGTAGTTTAAATTAAATGAAAACTAAACGAAAAGTTAACACATGCAGTTAGAGGGAGAGACCTTAAAAGAGTTAATAAACAGTCACTAATACGGAGAGGAGCGCGTCGTGGAAAACTCCGGCCGCGCCTCGTGCGTTTATTCGCGGCGTGTAACGGAGTACAAACACGACATTCGACAAGAAGGCGAGCACGCTCGGTTCACAGGATGCGTCCTTCCTCCCGAGCGCATTCGGACAACGGAGCATTCAACGCCGGGATTCCTAACAGTTTACAGGAATGGTAAACCGCGAGAGAATGCTCGCTGTCTCTAGCGATAAGTCGTAGACGAGTTTCCTCCTGTTCGCGAAACTCCTTTGTAACAGAAATCTCTTTGAGCGACGAGTTTCAACAATCGGTGCCTGCCGGATTTCACATTCATATATTTTATTAATAGACTCGATCGTTTGTTAGTTGTAAAAAAAAAAGAAGCTCTTGCTGCCACCAATATTTTCCATTTTCATGATGTTACGCTTTATCTTTTTGCAATTGTCAAAAACATATCATATCGCTCATTTGCTACAATAACGACATAACTAAAAAATTGTCATCTTTAAATTATTTATAAAAAACCGGATCTTTAGAGTTTATTACTTATTACTTACTGGCAGAGAGACGCGATTCAGTTTTTAAAGTTCACTTTTAAAACTTTTAATTTTGCATCAAAAGTGTCATAATTCAAAAAGAATCTCTTTTAAGGACTAATTTTTATATTTATACATTATAATAAAACTAATAATATTTTTATTCCTCTATAATATTATATTAGTTATTACATTAAAATTGCATTTAAAAATATTACAAAATCTTAATGATTCAAAGCATCAAATTCATTTTTTTAACAATTTTTTGTTTTTAGAGTTATGTCGTTATTGTAGCAAATAGCGATATTTTTTATTGCTAACATTGGATTTTTACAACAAAGAATTGAACGGACTGAACAGATTTCAGTTTTGAAATGTGTTTCTCAAGTAAGTAAACTATACTTTCACACGCTTACAGTAATAATAAGTATTTAATAAGTATGTAAGTATTTACATCGTGTTGCCGTAATTATTTAATAATTACGATACGCATTTACACCATGTTTACACAGGTAGAATATATATAAGCATAATTGTGTGATTGGTTTTTCATTTTCAACGGAGTATACAATAAAATTGAAAATTCAAACCCCTAGAGAAAACAATCATCAAAAACTCAATAACGAGATAAATTTTAATAAAAAAATAACATCATATATTAAACAATCATTCTACTGTTCGTCAAAAAATTGTTGTTAATTAAATCATAACAGTTGACATCATAATAAGATCATGTACTTATTATTCTTTATACTTTTCAAATTATAATATAATTATAATATAATTCAATATATATTCAAATATATATTCAAATTATAGTACAATTATAGTATAATTCAAATTTTAGAAATTATGAATTTTACAATTTAATTTTTTTAATATTTTATAAATAATCAGTCATGGAAGAGCGGAGATTTATTTAAATCGCAAATGTATTCTTTCGTATCAATTAAAGTTCTTTCGCCATAGCCATATTGATCTATCATAGACGAGAAATGACATGCAATAATTTTTTTGCAATGTATATCTTTATTTTTTAGTTTTCCCTTAAACATAATAAAAACATAATAATTTCATGATTCTGAAATTTAAAAAATGTACGGGAAACTAAAATATTTATCCGATCTATTACGCAGAAATGTAAAATAATTCTTGAAACAATAAATTATTTTTCAATTATGCTTAAATGGCCATGATAGCTGAGCATCATTGATACATAATAGATCAGATGTCTCAATTTCGTACATTTTATAAATTTCAGAGTCACGAAATTATTGTGTTTTTAAAGGAAAATTAAAAAATAAAATTATATATATTGCAAAGAAATTATTGCACATCATTTCTCGTCTATGATATCATAAAATCGACATGACTGTCTAAGAGAATCGAGCTTAAGGAAAAAATGGAAGAAATAATCCTACGAGCTGCTTAAATAGGCACAAACGAGAGACAAATTAATCGAAAACATGTTAAGAGGAAGTCAAGATAATCACTGATGCAACAAATACAGTTGTATTTGTTTTTTATATTAATGACATTGAGACATCATGCCTCTATGACGCTTTGTCCTTATAATATATTTACAAAGTGGACTCATTCCCTGAATGAAATAAGCCAGACTGCAAAGCATAATCTGATATGCTGAAATTGTATTTCAATTTTGAATTTAGTCTCATTGGCACATCACAAAGTGCAATAAATTTGTGCATTTTTATCTGAGAGATTCTCTGTCGAAGCTAGGAAAATGTATCATAATACGTGTACTTTGGATACAACGAATATAATATAAATTATAAAAGCGTAAAAAATTTAATGAAAAAATATTCCCAGCATCACGAATTGAACAACTTAGTTCTCTTCAGATCACGCCGGAAGAGAACAAGTCCGGTATAAAAAGAAAGGCAAGGAAGCTATTGCGATTACGTTATTTCGTTTTGCGCATATATCTTATGCGAATTAAAAAATTATGATTCATACTTTTTCATATTAATGCAATGAATTTTATAACATGCTGGAACAATTATGATAGCCGAGAGAGATAGCATATATGGGAGATTGTGTTCTTTGTTTCTCCATACTGCGTTTTATTATCTCAATGTTCCTGAACTATACTATGAAAATACTGTGTACTGTCGCAGATCATATTAGTGCAGAATAGTTGTGCAATTAAATCTGTCATTACGAAAGTTTGAAATTGTTTAATGACATGATTATTTCACGTATTCACACAATATGATATAATCTTATTGAATGAATACATTCTTCACTTGTGAGTTACTTTCAGTTCATAGTATATGCAAAACTGAGAGAAAACAATTTCCGCATGTAATTATTTCTCTTAGCTTACTCTTGTCGAGAAAAATCCTCCTTTGTAAATGTTCCAGTATATTATAGAGTACTAATTTACTGTACTAATGGCTAGAGTAAAGAATTCGCGAGAGTATAATACAATTTGTATCTTACAATCCCCAATATAAAAACTTATACTACTACCCACGAGTTACTGACGAAGGTCCCAAATTGGAACCAAATGGCGTTCGTTTATACGGATCCGACGGGTGCATCCATAGGCAAGTATTAAGCCCTGTGTCTACGATACTAGAAATCAATCCGAGATCTCAGACGGAGGCAAAACTGTATTGATCAATTGATCAAAATAGCCGTTATGATTAAACAATTTTTCCTCCGTCCAAAATTTCAGATCAATTTCTAGCATCATGGACATAAGGCTTTACAGAAGCCTGTGTCTTTTATATTTTTCCTCTTGTAATCTTTTTCTTTTCAGAATATACTCATGCAATAGTCACAGACATCTCTTTTTTTCTCTCGTACTCGTTGTAGCTTGAAAGACACAATCCGGTACCGATACTTATTCCATAGCTATGCTCTTTAGCACGTACTTCACTGTATATGCAAACGCCGCGAAACCAATGATGACAAAAAGATTGGCCATTACGGTATGCAGTGGGCTCTGTTCTCTCTGCCATTGATCTCGTATTAATGAAGAAACCTCAGATGTCGTGGACTGATGCCTCGCTTGTTTTTCAAGTTCCTTCCGACGTTCCAACTCCGCTCTAATTGTCTACGGAAACATCATATGAAATTATATTTTCAATTCGGTAATAATTCTAGTTTCCATCAAAACTTTAATTCGCTTTTAATGCGATGTAGAAAAAAACTTATGTCGACGAAAATACTTGCACTCGATTTACACATTCTATTCTATATTGGAATGACAGCGAATTTCACACAATCGGTAGAAATGATCGGTAGAATTAAATACTAATCTCTTCGTTATTCATAACAATTTTCAATCATCAAAATAAATGCAATGTTTCAATAATATTAATCTTCTTTTTATCCAACAGCCAAGAGTTGCATTAATTTTTCAGAAGTTATTTATGTCAGATTGCTTGTTTACTTGTATATGTATGTATACAAGTAAACAAGCATGTGTGTATACATTTCACATTTTAAATTGACTCTGCTAAAGTATCTTTTTCATTTCAGTTTCTTCTTTCAATGAAAACAATAAATTCGATTTTGCACCGAAATAGAAATAGGATCAAAGGTTTGATGAAAACTTATTATTGATGTAACATTTCCATTACCTCAACAGTATCTGGAAAAAGCTCACAGAACATCTTGTCTCTTAGGTTATATTCTAAGCTCTGTGCAGCCAACTGTCTCTTTTCATAATCTGTTGTGTTAATACTACCCAATGTGGGGCTTTTTTCAATCTATAAGAATATAAAATTATAATTAAATTATTTTCCAAAACTGCCAAAGTATTTCAGATGATTTATATCAATTATATACCATAAAGCTAAGTAAGCCGGTAAGAATGGTAGATACGCTCCATGCTGGATTCCATGTATCTGGATGGAAGTCGGAAATGGACAGGCATAGTCTTGTATTAACTTTAAATCGGCCATTCGGAGTAGTCATATAAATGCTAGGTGGTTGGAATGGAAACTCTCCTGGAAATATGAGCTTGCCATGATAAAAGCCACCTTCATATGGAGTCTTTTCCGGTCCTATAACCACATAATGCCTGAAACAAACAGGATGTACGTTAAATCATTCTTGTGCAGAATTGAAAAAAATCAATGCACAATTAAAGTCAGGCCTTGCCATTCTAGAATGTTTGAAGGCACTGGCTCCGCAAGGACGTATGGCACTGGATCTCTTTTGAGACGCAGATAGTCCTGTTTCAATCTGGCCGTCGCACTGTTGACCTTTCTGTTCATCCTTACCATGTAGCCCAGTGTCACTTGTGAACGCGGATGCTGTCCGAAATCTCTCGCACTCGCGGCTAGTATACTTTCTACAAAACAGATTTTCTTCTTGACACTCCAAAGATTTCCGCTTGCCGTTTCATGCGACGCGCTTTACAAGCCGGAATCTCGCTCGCGAGTCTGTCCTCGTTCTCGCGTTCCTGTTCTCTCAGCCTCGTCGAATCGCGCGACGCTCGCGCATCGCGCTCGTCCACGTGGAATCGACCGTGATGATCTTTCTCGGAAGTTTATTCGCGGATTCGCCTGACGAAATCGGCTGGGATGAATCGCGCGATAACGATTTTGTGGACGTCGTGACGACACGAAATAGGGTTACGTCGCGTAAAATGACAAGCACGAATGTCCGAACGGGAAGAAACTGTGAAAACTCGAGAAAATGTGCTTGCGACTGCTTATTGATCGAGACTGCAAATTGATCGAGATAAGAGCTCGAGTAACGCACCACGTTGGAATGAGAGCGGATCGCCGGCCGAAACAGAACTCGACAAAGTCGACGGCAAACCGTCGCGCAACAATGGAAAACATCTGATCGCGAGGTTCGCCAAGAGTTAATTTACCTGCAAGCGCAGGGCAGTGTTGCTATCAGGGACGCTTTCTCGCGCATGCGTATTTAGATGCAGATTCATTGAAGTGTCACGTTTAGAAGAAAAAAGGATTCACTTGGTCTTTTACTAAAATTTTTTATATTATATAAAATTGTTTATAATTATATATAATTGTATAAAATTGTAAAAATTATATAAAATTATTATTTAATTATATAGAATTTTAAATATAATTAATATTAATAACCTACAATAACATTAATTTTTTATAACAAAGTTATATTTTTGTAAATGTAAGGAAAGAAAGTATATAATAAAATACATTTATGTGTTTAAAATAAAATATTTTATTTGAAAATTACGAGCATGCTTTTTAATGGCTCCTTTTTGATTATGTATATCCATATTATGTTTATGTTTAATAACAAGTCACAAATAATAAATAATAACATTTATCTTTAATAATATATTAATAATATTTAATACTTACTTTATTTAACTTATCTCATCCTAGCATGGAGCCCGCCAAAATTTTAACTCCTATTATATACGTGTGGTGGTCCCCCGCTCACACAACTAATACCTAGCAAGGCATTCACGAAAAGAACCATGGCTCGCATGGCGCAGTGGTAGCGCGCCAAGTCTTAGACACCTGAGGACCTAGATTCGAATCCCACCGCGGCCAACATCTTTTTTCCGTCATCAAATTCATCACATCGTGGACAACGCTCCTCACCAAATGCCACAAATTGATCCCGACGTGATAAACACGCAACCTTCTCAACTCCACCCATCGAAATACAGACACGGCCTCATGAAGCCCGCTGCTTTCGATCACGTGACTCTCCTTGGCCAATCATCGGACGCACTCGACTTGCCGAGTTTCGTACACATCTCCCTGTCGACGTCCATACGGCCAGCCCACATCACCAACCGGTAAAGACAGCCAATCACTTGGACACCCCTCGACTTTCAAGGTTACGCTCCAACCTCATTGTTGATGTCCAAATGGGCTAGCCCATGCAAAGGAGAAACAACTGGCGCACAACAGAGTCGCAGCGGCAACGTGCCCTCCTCACATCGCGCATCTCATATCTCCCTGGGCAGACACACCGGGCAAAACAGAAAAATCGGAGCTTGTCCACTAAGGGGGGGGGGGAATCCTGTAGCAGTCTCCCGCTCACACAACTAATACCTAGCAAGACATCCACGAAAAGAACCATGGCCCGCATGGCGCAATGGTAGCGCGCCAAGTCTTAAACACCTGAGGATCTAGGTTCGAATCCCACCGCGGCCAACATCTTTTTTCCGTCATCAAATTCATCACATCGTGGACAACGCTCCTCAGCAAACGCCACGTACGTATGTCATGTTATAGCTCTAGATATGACTATATACGCGGTCATAATACGCATGCGCGAGAGAGCGGCTCTAATAGCAACACTGGCGCAGGGTTACCATGTTTATCAAGCAGAAAATGCAATCTGAAATCCTGATTTTGGATTTTGTATTGTCTCTTAAGATTCGGAATACGAAATAGCGATATTATCGACCATTGATATAAATTTTAATAGTTACATAAATATTTGGGAATCATGCATCATTAGATTTATGTTTTTTTATTATAAAAATTTTATTATAAATATGCATATTCTCTCTTCCGATTATCCTGTAATTTTATAAATTTGTGCATTTTCATGGATAGAATATAACATAAAAAGATAATAAAAATTTATAATAATATAAATTTTGAATTACAAACTATTCTCTGTTATAATTTAAATTATATAAAAAAATAATTTGTTTTTTAATTAATTAAAGAGAATATGATAAATATGCAGCTATAAATTATTATTTTCTAACCTATTGATGTCAAAAAAGTGAAAACAGAAAAAATCAGAAGTGACAAGTTTCTTTTCAGAATAAATTCTACATATAAAAGTATACAAATTTATAAAATTACAGAAAAATTGCAGGAAAGAGCATTATACTGCATATTTATTTAAAAATATTTCATAAATATATGTGTATACTGTAAGAAAGGCGTCAGCAAGTTTAAATTTTTTTTGCGCAGTAGCGCGCAGTGCGGCCTATTTTGATATTAACACTTATTGGTTGAAAGACCACGTGATATATTGCAATTGGTTAATGAAGGAAAGAGCAAAAGCGAACAACGGTGAGTTGCAGCGTGTAAGATTAGGACGCCGAAAAAGTGCGGATGTCGTGCGTAAATTGTGAATTAAAGAGGAAGTAAAAAAGAAGAAGTGTGTGTGATTGAATGTGCCGCTTTCCCTTGCCACCTCGCTCATCCTAATAATTAATTATCGATTGTTACGACCAGAGTCAGAAGATTGTCCCTCTTGTCGACTCTCTCGAGAGTTCGCGGTAAATTTAGTTTTACGCACTTGCATTACAATATTTATGATGCCAAATCACAATTTTGTTTTCTATATAGTTATCATTTCTATAGGTATAAATGTGAGAATATTAAATATAAAAATGTACTTCTAAATAAAATTAAATCTTTCCAAATTGTCAATATATACATATGTACATATCTATTCAAAAAATATCAGACGAGTAATAAATCAAATTAATATATTACAGTATGAGCTAATGACTAGGAGTTAATAAGTATTGAGCTAATTGTTTAATTTTTAAGTCATGCAATTTCTGTAATGAATTTAATTATCATTGTAGTTATTTAATCAACTCTACAGACATGGAATAAAAAAAATAGATTAAATTCAGAATAAAATGAGCTGGAGCAATATATACTTGATTAAATATAGTTGCTCTTCTTAATTTCAATTGGTGGTTTCAGATATTGACAAAATGGAAATGATAAAAAAATTATTTTATAATTATCGCAGTTAACACAAACTATAGTATGTACGAAAAACCGAAAAAAGCAACTAAACAAGTTAAAATATTATCTCAATATTTTTTAATAATTTTTTGCAATATTTTCAGGAATGGAAAAACTTTCGTATTTTTAATAAATTCAGTATAAAAAAATAAAAATTATTTTCAAAAACATATCCATATTGATACTTCACTTTTAAAGGCACAAAAAAATTTGCCTTTAAATTTTATTCCTATTTCTAATATTCCCTCCATTGTACGTAAGGCCTAAAATATCCCTATAAATATAATAAAATATTGATAATATATTATATATTATTTTTATTATATTTATATGTTTGAATCATATACATTAAATCTACTAAAGTTAATTTATAATTTATCTTTTGCATTCCTTATTTCTTTAAGATGATTTATTTATAATATTGAAGATTCATCATTATATATCTAATATATCTAATCTAATTTTTCTTCCTATATATCAAACAAAAAATTAATTTAACTTGTCTAAATCTATCAATATAAAATACCATAAGTATTGTTTGTTAATGTATCGCTGATTATGTTAATCAGAGTTTGGTTGAAGTTATTCCATTCTGCAAGCGGCAGTCGCCAGCTGTTAATCTCATACAATGAATGAGGCTTAAGACTCGTGACAGTCACCGCCTCCCACCGTCGTCGTCTATCATTGAAAGAGTGGATACTCGCGACGCTGTGCGATTGTTGACATTTTACTTCGGATGTCAATGTAAATTCGGCTGACGCTGTCTCCGTTCGGAGACTCGATTCATTGGGTTGCCAATTGGTTACCCTTCGATTCATTCAACATCATGAGCTCGTCATTATCTGTGAGTAATGCTGGATCACCGGCTACTGCCACTGGTATGGAGACAGTAGTAGCGGTCGCCTTAGGTGCGCTCGCTGCAGTCTTCCTCGGCGCACTTTTAGTACTCTTGGTCATCTGCCGCAGACAACGTTGCTACTACGTGAGTTTAACGACAGAAAAGTCGTAAAAAACTAGCCATCTCAGAAAATTATATAAATGATTTTATTTGTAGAATCAGAAGGACTCCGCGGAATTGAGCTCTGATTTGCTTGAGAGAGAAATATTACGTGGTTTGGGATTAGACGTCTGGGAAAGCGAAGAATGGCTGGCGGGTGCTGAAAGGTAAAAATAGTCGATATACGATGAAGAAATAATAAAAATAACAAAAATAATATATCATATATGTAATATTTTACTTTCATCTTTATTCAGACACTCTGACATGTCTTCTGTGATAAAACCCAAAGTTTTAAAAATCTTAACATGATGAATGTTCGCTCTTTTTTTTTGTCTTTATCATGTAATTATATTTATGAAAGTTTAAACACTATATAACTTAAGGATGATAATTTGTGTTATAGATGGGTGGACGATGCTACTGGTCTAGCTCCACCGTGTATAGCAGTGCTTCGATCCTGCCATGCTCTCGCAGCCAGTCTCACTACTATCGCTGGAACAGTCAACAGTAATACTGTCCCACTGGAAATAGTAGATGTAAGAGCGATGATTATATTATTCCAAATTATTTTCGTTACTGGACCTTGTTCTTGTCCTTAGGTTGCCCGACGTATCCCACCTCGTGTAGATGATGTCGTTCGCAGTCTCTATCCACCATTGGATGCTAGATTATTGGAAGCTAGGGTAGCAGCTTTGGTGTTGGCTGTAACCCATTTGGCACTAGTGACCAAACACGGTGTACCCAAGAGTCAAGCTAGGAAACTGGCGTTCATCGATCAAGCTCTAAACGATATGGATACACATTTGCTGGTGCTGAGAAACGCAGCGCTGGCCCAAGAAATGGCCTGCTCTATTCCGGCTTCAACACCAGTCTGAGTATATGCCGATCTCGCGATGGATTAGAATCTCTCAGTATTTGTAATTATCGGATTATCTGTAACTTTTCGCAGCTTTGTCTTATAACGTCGTCATGACAGCAATGAAAGCTGTATATAATACGGTCGCTAGATTCATAAACATAGATTGAGAGTATATCAAATCATGTATAGAATGGCAAACACATAAGAATATAGATTACTGATCTCAAGATACAAAAATGAACAAAAATTCAAGAGTACTAATGAAAAAAATCTCGTCAGCGCTTTATGTCAATTATCATGACTAGAAAAGAAATGCAAATTATAGATATATAGATTTTATATATAAATAAGAGATATATTTTAATAATTGTTTTAAAACGCGATGAAAATTCGCCAAAAACATCTCTTAATATTGTGTAATATACAGAGATATACGAAAATGACGTCTTCCATATTATATTATCATAATTATTTATATACGTACACGGATAAAAATGTATTTTGGAATTATATAATCGATCGTACCTGCGATTATGTTTGTACACATAATATTTTATATTTCTGAAGATAATCAAATGGTTTTATAGATTAATAGGAATTTATAATAAAGTTAATCATCAAAGAGAAATCACTGGGTTCTTTCGTCCTTCTTTCTTTATTATATATATATATATATATATATATATATATATATATATGCTTATTATTATAAATAGCTTGTCAATGATTTATTTCAATTTAATCTATGCAGTGTGCATAGATTCCCAAATTTCTAGACTCCTACTGTGATTGAGTAATGCGCCACAACAACCTGCGGGTTGTCAAGTAAAGGATCAATTTCGAACTAATATTTCAATAAATTAACTAAGTAATTCGATCGATACTGATACGCTACATAACAGCATATACAGTGGCGATTACAATTACAATTTCCAGAAAAAAATTCCTATGAATGCGGAGGCATAGTGCATTAAAAAGAGAAAAACACAGCGGGTCACGATTGTAGCGTTGCCTCCATTATTTTCCCCGATTCGCCAAGTCCTTCTGTCTCTTTTGGTTGTCGGACAAAACTTTGTCCTTGAGGTGTTCCTTGTAATCTAAAATGTTACCGCTCCATTTTGTGACTGTTCCATTCTCGCAGACCCAAATTTCTTCGGCGACCTAAACACCGAGCGATAGAGAATATATTTACAGAGTTTATAGCTTTTTCGAATTGAATCAAAATTATAAAGAATCTACGTACCTGATTGATTAATCTGAAATCATGCGAGACGAGAACCATGCCACCATCGAAATCATTGATGGCGTCAGCAAGTGCATCAATGGTTTCCATATCCAAATGATTGGTAGGTTCATCGAGCAGCAATAGATGAGGCACTTGCCAAGCTAACCAAGCAAACACGACCCGACAACGTTGACCATCAGACAATTGACGAATAGGACAAATCTAAAATACAAGACATAATAGCATACTCAAACATTCGATATTTTCAAATTTCAATTAATTTAATAGATGCATACCTGTTGACGTCCAGTTAGACCGTAACGGCCAATAATTTTTCTCATTTCTTCGCGTTCTTTGACTTCGGGAAAAGCCTTCATCATATAATCGAGAGGTGATATATCCAAGTCCAACAATTCATGCAAGTGTTGATGATATCTACCAATTCGGAGATGACTGTTTTTGCGAATCATTCCACTTGTTGGTACTAACTGTAATGCGAGATTGCCTTGTCAAGAGACAAAAATCGATTGCTACATTTATTATTAGAATGTATATTCGCAACATACATCACCGTATAACAGCTTTAGCAGGGTACTTTTTCCTGCTCCGTTTGGTCCAACCAATGCGATTCTAGTATCTAAATCGATTCCGAATTCCAAATTCCTGTAGATCCAAGGTGCGTCCTCGTTATAACGGAAACTTACATTCTGAACCATGATAACCGGTGGTGGAATTGTTCCACACGAAGGGAAATAAAAGTTTAGCACTTTGTCATTGACAACTTTTTCAGTTAAACCTTGCGCCACCATTTTTGCTAAAGTCTTCTCTTTTGACTGAGCCTGTCTAGCCAATTTTGCCGAACCATGACCAAATCGTGCGATATAATTTTTCATGTGCGCGATTTGATCCTGTTCCCAATTATATTGCTTCGCTTGATTTTCTAATAACTCCATTCTAAAAGAAAAAAAAAAAGACATTTATGTTAGAATCAGCGCTGCAAATATAAGATATAATTTGTCAGTGACTTATATTTTCCACAATTCACCTTGTTTTCACGAACGCTTCATAATTACCGGTGTAATACTTCAACTGCTTTTTATTAACGTGAATGATATTAGTGCAAATGCCATTGAGAAAATCTTGAGAGTGAGAGATTATAACGAGAATCCGTTTATAAGTTTTAAGTTCCTCTTCTAACCATACACAAGCATCGAGATCAAGATGATTAGTTGGTTCATCGAGTAATAACAAATGCGGTTTTACGTACAGTGCTCTGTAAAAATGTAAAGAGAAAAACGTAGAAAAATTTTGATATTATAGTCACAAATTTGTATCTTTTTATTAACTTTTTTTATTAAGTTTTTTTAAACTTTTTATATAAACATTTTTGCATACCTAGCAAGAGCTATACGCATACGCCAACCTCCTGAGAAGTCTTTGGTAGGAGTTTTTTGCATTTTTGCAGTAAAACCCAAACCGTGTAAAATATGGGCAGCACGAGCTTCCGCCGTATCGGCAGCCATATCCTCTAATCTTTCATACACATCCATGAGTTGTTCCTACAATAATAATACTTATACTTTTACTTATACTTATACCACACCCTATTTTTTAAAACGTTTTTAAAAAGAATTTCCGTAATATTAATTAATTTTAATTCCAATAATTTTTATTTAAGACTATTTATTATTTCCTATTTATTATTTCTTTTATAATTTGTATTTTAGTTAATTATTTATCTTGGTTTATTTATACTCTAAGGACGAATGGTATACTCCTATGAATTTCAGCAAAATAATTACTCTTCAAAAAATATTATTATTTTATATTTTATGTTTTATAAACTTGTCTTCGCAAGACAGACAAGTTTATAAAATCTATCTTTTATCTATTATTCATTATTTAATCTATTATATATATATTTCATGCATCTTAATATCATAGTTATTAATTTCAGACATATAACATATTATTTTAAATTTTATTTACATCGACGATTGAAGATAGCTTAATCTAAGTCAAAATTTTATTTATTTAGAGATCAGAAGAGATTCGATTCGATTTATATTCAAATAATTCATACATCTTCGTGTATTTATTTTTGTATATTCGTGTTTAAAACTAATAAAAATCTAGTTTATGTTTATAAACACAAACATATTGTAAACACATACCTGAGCATCTTCTTCATCGCAATCCACTAATTCTTCGGCGAGTTTTTCTAATCGCACACGCTCCTCATCAACCTCCATTACACACTCCAGAGCCGTTTTATTGCTTGCGGGCATTTCTCTAGTCAAATGAAAAATATCTATCTGCTCCGGGATAGGAACTTCACGGTTTCCTAGCACCGCCAATAATGTAGACTTCCCGGAGCCGTTTAGACCTAATAAACCGTAACGTCTACCGCAATTTAATTCCAACATGGTGTCTTGCAGCAGTTCACAGCCATGGAAAGTGATAGAAAAATTAGATATCTTTATATCACGGCTGCGTGGATGCGAAGCCAGCGAGCCTGTGCACGAACGTGCATCCGCATTTAATCTGGCATCTTCCTCCAATTTCAGACATAACGCCTCTGTAAACACATGTATATTATATGTGTTGACAAAACACATTGATCGAATGAGCATAATGTATAAATATAAGATAATTACAAATACTGTTTCAAAAAATAACTATAAAGTAAAGCCAATCATAGAACACATGTAAAGATTGTTATAGATAATAATATATAATATGTAATAAATGTATTATTTTGTATTAATTACAAATTGCACACACACACACACACACACACACACACACACACACACATATACACATACATACATACATACACACACACGTGTATATGTATATATGTATGTATGTATGTGATATATTTATAAACATTAAATATTATAAAGCATTATCATATCAAGTTCTATAATTTGTTGAAATATGTATTGAAAGAATAAAAGTTATCTCTTTATACTATATTTTTAAAATAAATTAATGAATGTACATGCGTTAGTATTTTAAAGAACTTCTGAAACACATTTACAAAAGCAATATTCATAATTAATAAATATCAAAACGGCAATATTAGAAATGTCAAAATTTTTGGACATTTTTTTAGAAATCCATAGAAACAAAAATCTTGAAGTTTTAAATTATCAGGGATCTCTTCCTAAATAACTGTCACTCAAACATTATAGAAAATAGCTGAAAAGTGACACGTGCGCTCCTGGCGGCAAGCAATAGTATGCTCCATTATCTACCTTCGGCGCTAATAGCCGTGCCATTGGTGCCGTTTTGAAGCTCCGCTGCCAGGCTCTGCTCCTTGCCGTCCTCGGTCGATCTCGTCTGATTATTGCTCTGCAGCTTCTTACCGGACTGCCTCGCCTTCGCGGCCTCCTTCTTCTTCTGCTGCTGCTTCTTCTTCGCGTCGGACGGCATAGTCTTTCACCTGGAATTCACAGACGATTATCGTGGCATAGGGAAAGGTGGAGGAACGATCACAGCGAGCGAGACGCGGCATTTTTCGCGCGTTACGTAAGGCATAGGTTAGGAGGATATGTGGGCACGTGTTTCTATTCGAACAAGAAGGAAACACCGAAGATACGAAGCCGACGATCGAGATACGGCGATATCGCATCGATTGCCCTGAATGCGAGACGAGCTAAGACAAGACGAGACGAAATGAGATGAACGGCGAGAGCAGACTTAAAGAGAACTCACCTGGGCGAATGAGTGAGACTCTATATCATCGCACTATACAACGCTTCCGGCTTCTAATTACCCCGTAACTTTTCCCCACGACACTATGCCCACGCGTGAATTGCCCACGGAATAATTATACATACCTAATTGTGCGCCAAAAAGCGGACGATGCGTGCGACACGCGAACACCACACGTGCGTCGAACGATTTGAGGCAAAACCGTCAAATTCTACGAGCGAACTTACTGCGTCGGTGTCTAGATGGCGCTGCATGTACTGAAATTCATATCCGACAACTCACGTTGAAATACTGTATATAATATATGAAAAGATTGACGTATCTTTTATATATTATTAATAGTCGTTAAATTTGTAAGCCTTGAAACATTTACGTGGACTCGGCACCTTTTTTTCTGATTTATTATTTTCAATTAAAAAAGATACGAGGAAGAATGTTTATTTTTTTATTTTATGTTTAAGATTTCGCATGTATATTTTATGTTTTATTAGGTAAAATTAAGACGCTGTATTTCTCACAGACTAAATTTTTATTCCATTATATTTATATAATTTAATTATTTTAATTAATTATATTTAATTATACTTACTCAAGATCCTACTACAACATTTTTAAGATTACAATATTAATTTCTAATTATATTTTAAATATCATCGCTCTCATAAATGATGTTCCGACTTGTAGTAATAAAATATTGTGATATTTTTATATTATATTTTTCTACATTCGCGTTTTTTTAATTAATATAATATAATATATATTCTTTATACAATTTTTATATAAAAAAGTCTTGATTAAATTAAATTATGATTATTATTATCATATCCTTCATCGCAGACTTTACCGTCAACGGGGTAACCGAGTGCTGTGTGAGTCTCGAATTACACTGCGGGCGCGGGGTGTGACGATCCTTTAATTTATCGAGCACTCTTCGATCTCCTCGAATCGCGCTGACCGAAGCCGAGCCAGGCCGGTCAAGGGGAGCGTGTATTCTTTCTGATGAATGAACGAATGGATAAACGACGGGAGTGGTGGTAAAAGAAGAGATAGACTTGCGCCCCGGCAGCGGCGGCGGCGGCGAGTCCGAACGTCTGTGTCGGCCGGGCGACGATGGTGGGGTGACGATCGCGGGAATGGAGATGGTTCCGGGACTTAATTGCACCGCATCACAGAACGTAGTATCCCCGTAGTACGTGCCGTTGGGGCGGACGGGAGGGAGGGGAGGGGATGGGATGACGGCGTGGCCGCTGTCGGTGCGGCGTTTGTACGTAGCCGCACGTACGAATCGACCGACGCGGCGTGTGCGTACGCGGTCGACCAGTGACGTACCTGTTCCACTTGCGCGGTCGGACCGATCGGGCCGCAGATTCGAGTGACTGACCTTTTCGCGCCCGGAGGATGATACGTTTTCGAAAAATTATACCCTCTGGCGGTCATTGTGAGTCGTCATGGTCAAGCGCCGCATTTCGAAGGAATCGTTCGAGATAGGGCCCGCAAAATATCGTGATAAAAATTTATCATTGCAAAATGTAACTTATTCGCGAAATGAAGTGCGAAATCTGACTGAGCTTCCGCCTTCCCTTCTTATTCTCTTTTTATAAAACTAAGATCACCAAATATAATTATAAAGATAAATAAATTGGATTCGATTGAAAAGATGAAAGGACTTAACAGGGGTGCGCAGTATTATCTTCGCGTGGCAATGTGAGAGAAATCTTGAAGAATTAATGTTGTGCGTGTCTTAATTGTGCATAAGTGGAGGAGATGTTCGCTGTAATCACATTTAACGTACGTCGGGAATTTCGTGGACGAATGAACGAATGGAAGAAAAGGATTAAAAAAAATACGTGAATGTCGCACGTTGTTCATTCAAATATCGCAGCGCCATTATCGATATTCATAAATAATTGATTATTTTTTTCGAAGTTATTTTATAACTTCTCTTTCGAATCGTTAAAATGTTATATATTAAAAATTCTTAAATTTAAAACAAATTGCAAAAAGGAAAATATAAATAAATAATAATACATCAAAGCAAATAAAATTATATAATAAACATAAATTATATAATAAATTATTATTTTGGTATCTTAATTGAAAACAAGTCTTTATCAAGAGAAGAGGAAAGAAAATCTATACAGAGATTCAACAGTTATTTTTTGAATAATTAATCAGATTTTAGTTGTTAGAATATTCAACGATATTCGTCGTATCATAAATAAAATATTATAGTTCAAGTTTAACAAATGATCATTTGTAATAAATTAAGAGATACGAAAATATCGTTCTCTTCTACTGGTATTCATCGAGCATATTTCCATAGTTATTGTAATTATTGTCGACATGTTAATTTAAAACTGCACATTTAAAATACGATGAGATTTTTTTTTCTCATAAAAGAATTACAATAAAATACAGATACATACTATGTATCAGTACACTGTATATTAAATCGTCATACTTAATAAAAATAATAGAAATGTGGGAAAAATAATTAATTTCACGCAATAGCGACTTATACTCGGTCTTTACACAACTATCGTACTTAAATCACAATTTTATATTAATAATAAGTGTAATATGTGCAACCCAATTTACTGTATATAACGATATATACAGTAGTATAATGTAATTATCTAATTAGTGGTCCATTATTAGATTAAAGTTCGCGATCTATAATGTCTCATGTTGTTTTCATGGCATGATGGATGTGTTGCAAGAGTTCGGTGGGTTTATAATCCATCGTCGAAAATTTAATCTGCGGCCGGCCGCTACCCCCTGTCGCGTAAAATTTATGAGCTGACAGTCGGACTGCTGCTTCCTCGGCGAAGAATCGATGTGATGTCTTTCGTGCCGAGTGTTTTTGACACGAGGTGGTCGACCCAATCGATTCCAGGTTGATATAGCCGAATCGGAAGTAGGACGTTTAGGCTTCTTGAAAATGACAAGAAAAGAGGAAGGGGAAGAAGAGACGGAGAGAGGATCAAGCCACTGACTTTATTGATATTATTTAGTTTAGATCTCTCGAATCGCCGATCACTTCAGAAGAAAGTCACTTGGCTTCTTCAACGAGAAAATGTGAACTAAATGAGATATCTTTTCCATGTAATATTAAGAGGTATAGCGATTCTTAGATATAAATAAGTGATAAGTTGTAAAGAGATATATTTATTAATTAATTATTTCGATCTTCGTATAAATTATTTTTATAAAGAAAAATAATTGAAATTTTATTTATATAATTTTTTTTGTTAAAAAAGAAAAAGAATTTATCATTAAAAATTGAAACTTTATATGAAAGTTCTTGCAAATAAAAAATTGTTTAATTCCCTCATTCTATTAATTGATGATAAACAACTTTTCAAAGTGTAATGAATTGCGAGAATGAACCTCATCGATTCGTGCATTCAAATAAACAACTTAATAATATCGGGAATTAAGCTGGTTATTCGCACAGAATGACCATTATTGTTCCCATATTTATTAACTATACAATTATCTACCATATACTTTGAAGGGTTATCGAAATTATTTTATAATAGCTGGATGAACGATATTAATACGATATGCAAAAAGGATTTCAATTGAATATTTAAAAAAACTTAAGTAAATAATTAATATATAATAATCGCAAATATACTAACATGTATAATTATTCATCGGCAAGGTTCCATATACAACTCTTATTGGCTTGATTAGCATGTCTATCGCTTGACGTTCAAATTTCATAATGTTTTGTTGTGAAACTGATGTACATTGAAACAATCATCAATCTCTTTGAGCGATTCCCAAGTGATGAAACAAAGTCTCATGTTTAAAGTCGTTCTCGCTTTTACCAAGTGGAAAAGTCCAAATAAAATTCATAATTATATATATAAATTATATATGTATATAATTATATATATACATATATATATATGTTTACGTGAGTGTTTAAATATTATTTAATTTCGTATTGATTATATGTATTATGATATATGCAATCTTTCAGGTAGATATCTAGGACAAAAATAACGAGACACGTCGCTAAATAAAATATGCAAGTGCATTGAGTTCACAAAATGAAGGAGATGGACAGGGAAACTTTTTCTGGAATCATAAATTATAATATAAAATTGTGGAGATGGCCCACATTCAGTTCACGTCGCTCGTATTGTTTTCCACAAGAGATATAATTTTTGAGAGTGTACCATTTTATGTCATGTAACTTCCACAGAAGTTTAAATTTTAGTACTAGTTTCTCTCTCTCTCTCTCCCTCCCCCCCCTCTCTCGAAAAAACGTCAGTTATGATAAAGGTTCGGAACACCTCCACGTCGGCGATTTGTTCGGCAACACTTAAAGTTTCTTTCCATCAAACATCCATCTTAGTAGTAGACCTCTTAAAATGTTCTTGGTAATCAGTATGCAATAATCGACGCGCTTCTAATATCTTTTCAAGAAGAGGACGATGAAGATTTTAAATGCCCCTGCATGGAAGTAATACCGTCTCCTCATTACCAAATTTCTGCTGGCTTCATAGTAAAGACATAGATTTAAAAAAAAAACAGATTAAAAAAAGATTCTAGCAACAACCAAGAAATTATCTTCTAATTCCAATCACGAAAACGGTATTTATTTCTTCTCCTGTCATATTTCACGAAGAAGAAAATCCTAATATAAAAAAATATGAATTATGAACATTTGGTTAAATCCATTTTACAGATTCGAATTTTTCACTAATATACAGGAAACCTCTACGAAACTCTCCTCAACGCGTAAGATCGATAGCGTTTTTGGCACAATTCGCGATCAAAGATCCGACTGGAAAGCGGAAGAGAGGAAGACCAGCGCGGAATGTCTATCGCTTTCGTATCTATATACGCTACTGCGCGCGACGACGATAACGACGACGACGAGTACCACCGTCGCCACCCTAGCTCGTACGTTCGCTCGCCTGCGCGCTTGCGTGCATACTCACAGCCCTCAACATGTCCGCTCGACGGCGGCCGAGCGTATAGTCGTGGCTATGCGGCGGGGCACGTTGTACCCCGCGAGCCGGTAGTCCTCAGTTCCCTGACGCAAGGTCGGCTCGCGAAGCGCCCCACGCACTCTCACTCTTGGTCTCGCGTCGTCCTCGTGCGTGCGAGCGTGCGTACGTACGAGCGTGCGGGCGTGCGTGTGGGCGGACGGGCGTGCGTGCGTGCGTGCGTGCGTGCGTGCGTGCGTACGAGCGGGCATGCGTGCGGTCGTGCGTGCGTGCGTGCGTGCGTGCGTGCGAGCGTGCAACATGCGGGCGTGCAAACGTGCTTGAGCGAGCTTATAATCGTGGTTTTCGTGTCGACGCCACCGCTGCCGCCGACGTTGTCGTCGTCGCTGTCGTCTCGTTGAGGTGCTATTTCGTTCGCCGACCCTCCACGAGGAGGAACAGCCCCATTCGAGTCTCGTGCTTGAGGTGAGGAGAAAGAAAGAAGAGAAACAAGGACAGACATATACGGTGCACTGTCCAAGTGCTAGGGGTAGCGGAGAAGTGAAAGGGACGCCGCTCTTCAGCAAGCGGCGGAGTGGCATACGAAGGGTGCGTTCGCGTGCGACGAAGAGAGGAGAGGCGAAGGCATCGCGGGACGGAGTGCGGACGAACGGGGTGAGGGTGGCCCAGCCGGAAGGTGGGTGACAGAGAGAACGCGAGCACGAGCGGAAAAGAGAAAGCGAGAGTGTACGAGTGGGCGAGGAAGAAGGGGTGGGTGAGCGAGCAAGTGCGAGAGGGACAGAGCATGGAGGGTTAGTACGCGAGCGAACAGGGAGGAAGAGCGAACGAGCGAAAGAGAAAGCGAATAAGAGAGGGAAGGGAGGAAAGAGAGAGAGAGAGAGAGAGAGAGAGAGAGAGAGAGAGAGAGAGAGAGAGAGAGGAGGAGGAGGAGGAGG